TGAGAACTATTTGACCTCTTCACCATTAATACAAATAAAAGTTAATAACATGGGTATATCTTTTTTGTAGAAATTCAAAGAAGTTCTCTCTCATGAATATAAGGCTGTGCAAGGATCGTCGTGACAGCATAACTTGAATGCAACATGAAAGAAAAAAAGAAAACGTAACCCACCAAAATATTTATCAAGAGAATTGTAAATAAATTATGGTTCATTCATGCTGGAGAACTCTCTGCAGCTACTGAAAAGAACAGGTCACAGCTTGGAGAGGAGATTGAAGGCAAAGCAGCAAGTTGCAGAATATGAACTGGGAGCCTTTAACTTTTTTTTTTTTAAATTAGAATCTATTATACCATAGCATGGCCATGTAGTTCTTGAGTAACTCAAAGAGAATAGGGAGGGGAAAATACTTGAGGAAAAGGAAACTGCTAGAGCCCGCTGGAATAGCAGGTGGAGCCCATCAGGGGAAGAGGTGAGGGGAGCCAGGGAGGCCTTAGCTCTGAAGAAGGCAGCTGAGCAGGTAGCAGAGGCAGGGCGGGGAGGGGCAGCTGAAAGAGGAAGGAAGGGCAGATCTCAATTCTCAGAGGAGTCTCAATGACAGCTAGTGTGCGAATGCCAAGCCAGCCCAAGCCAGGCCACTCTTCTTCCCTGGGGAAGAGTGGGTCCGGTCTGGCTGCCCCTCCCAGGACAGTGGGCAGAAGGGGTGATGGACTCACCCAGCCTAGCGCAGTTCATTGGATCCCTGTCTGGAGGAAGGAGTGGGACAGCCCCCAGCTGTTCTCTGTCCCTTTATTCCTGGAGCCTTTGTCCCTGGCAAAAGGGCAACCTCAGGCCAAGAGTGCAGTGGCTTGGCCTGACATTGTGAGGTCAAGTTCTGCCCAGGGAGGGCCAGGAGGATGATCATAACTGTCCTGGGGTGGGGCTGGAAGGGACAGGGTTGGGAGGCTGCCTTATGTACACGGACAGTATGAGGGGTACTCACTGCCAACCAGGCTCTGAGCCTGCACCTGCCCTATGCTCATTCATGTATTATTCAGTCACTTCTATAACCCTCATGGCACGGGAGAAAATGGGGTTTGGAGGCTATGGAACCTAATGTCATACAGCTAGTGTATTAGTTATCCAGCACCGTGTAACAAGTTATCACAAAATTTAAAGGCATAAACAATATATCTCATGTTTCCTTTCAGTCACGAATTCAGGAGTAGTTTGGGTAGTTGTGGTTCAGGGTCTCTCATGAGTTTGCGGTTGAGATATTGGCCAGGACTCAGTAATCTAAAGGTTTGACGGGTTGGGAGATCCACTTCCAAGATCACCCATTTACCTAGCTGTTGGTGGAATCCTCAGTTCCCTACCAGGGTGTCCTCTGCACGGGGCTGGCTGGGTGTTGTTACGTCATGGCAGCTGACTTTTCTCAGCATGAATGTTTCAAGGGAAAGGGAGCACATCCAAGATGGAAGTCACAGTGACTTTTATAACCTAATCTCAAAAATGATACAGCATCACTTCTGCTACGTTCTATGAGTCACACAGAACATTAGAATTTAACATTCCTTTTTCAACTTGGGCACAGCTACCTCTGTGGATCCCAGCTTCCTGTGCTTGGGCTTCTTTTCTCCCTCCTACTCTAAAGATTATGCAAGACCGAGCTGCACACAGGACCTGACCTAGTGCTGAGTGCTTTGAGAGTGGTCACTGAATTCCTGGTGTGATTATTCCTGGGGGAGAGAGAATAGAGTCTACAAGGATAGAGCAAGACTTCTCTACCAGGAATTCTGGACACTAGTGTCTAATCTTCCTTTGTTGTGGGGGCTGTCCTGTTCATTGCAGGATGTTATAGCACCCCTGCTCATACCCTGTATATGCCAGTAACACACTCTCTCTCCCAGTTATGGCAACTCAAAATGTCTCCAGACATTGCCAAGGGTCCCGTTTGGGGGCAGAATCGCTCCAGTTGAGAGCCACTGGAACAGAATATGCATCAGAGCCCAAAACTTCTTAAGACTGGGACCACATGGTGGTGGACTCTTTCCATGAAGATTGCACTTTAGTGTAGCCCTGGCAGTTCCCAGGATGAACCTCATGTTTGGTCAGCCACAGGTCCGAGCCCGTTACATGTTCTAAGGCTCACTGCTCATGGCCTGGACACAGGTGTTCACCTGGGGAAGTACCCTGAGGGTACATCTGGGCCGATCATGTTTTTTAAGGGCTGGGTTGTCACTGTGTCATACTTGGAGTCCTCTACATCCAAATGGAGTGGCATATGTGATGTATAAATTCTGCAGAGAGAAGCACAGCTCTGCAGAGTCATTTCTGTGGCTATTGTGTTTAAGTCCAGACTACCCAAATTTGGTTTCATTCATAATTTTTTCACTTTAGTTTGGGGCCCATTAATTCTGAGAGGAAAAATGCGCAGAAGATTTTTCTAGGTGCTGTGCTATGTGCCACTTGACTCTGCTAGAGATGACAGTTGAAATGTGCAGAATTAGGTCTCTAGCCCTCCTATAACACTCCAAGCGCCCCCTTCCTTGGCCAGTCCAGAGCCTGAGGGTGTTCCATGCCCAGACTGCAGAGGCTGCAGCCACTGGGAGAGTTTGGCAATGGTACTATTCTTGGAGATGTTGCCATATACGTTTTTCCATATTGTTTCTTTTTCACATCCAAACCTAATGGGAACTGATGGTGACTCAAGTGGGTGTGGCCCTGGCCTCTGAGGCAGCCTACATGGCAAGTGCTTTCAAATCAGGGCAGGAGTCACTCCCAGAGCCTCTGAGGGGCACAGGCTATTGCCCAAGGTTGCGGGATTGTAAATCAGGCAGCCTGTGGAAGACTGGTCTGGAGAGGAGGTTGTTCTAGCAAAGAGCAGTTTTATCTCCAGCTCAGACAGCCGTGGTGGGCCCCTGAACAAGCCTATGTGAATACCTGAATTTTCCCCATAACTCATTTCTTCGATATGAAGAAACACCAAACTTCATGTACAGAGAATTTTTTATGAAAGGCAAACTTTTTTAAACTGTGTGATCCACCGTAGTCTAACCCGTCTAGCTGAATGACTATGAATAAGGGTCATTCTGCTAGTGAAAAGCCTCTATCTCCATCATAAATTTGACTGGATGTTGGCAAATTTAAATTTTGCAGTAATTACAGCTGCTGTATCTGTTCCTTAATACAAAATGGGATGAATCAATAGTAAGTTAGCTGTCTTTCAGGTTGGTGGCAGTCAGAACATGTGTAATATTCTCTACCTGGTCTGTAGCTGTAACTGTGGTGTACAGGCAAAGCCAGAATTATTAAAAAAAAAAAAAAAAAAACCTTACGAAAACAATGCAATGACATTAGGATATACAATTTTGTATTTTTATTCTTACATAAAGTTATTTACTGGCTATTGGCCTCTAGTTCAGTCTGTGTTATTTAAAACCTAACACATGAATTGTTTGGATTGAATTCATGTTCAAGGTCCATGTTGTTTTTGTACAGCTTTGAATGTGAATAATTAATGTAAACTATATTTTACAAGTCTTTTCTAGATTTATCATATAAATTTTGTTTAGCCCATGATTTAATCATTTCATAATTTAACGAATCTATTTCTCTTTTCAAAAGCTTGTGATTTAGATGTAGTTAACGGATGATGAAATTTACATGTATGCGCGATTGTCTTGTAATTTAAAAAGCATGTAAAGTGCAAACACTCGCTAGCGTAGCTCTTCCTTTGGCGTGGGACTGGGCGTGGTCGCAACTAGGAGCGAGCCCTTCTGGACCCGGCGTTTTTCCCCTCTGCCGCCCTCCCGCGTCAGCGTTCCGGGATCACGCTGCGCACGACTTCGGCCGGAAGGGGGCATGACCGGCCACTTTTCCGGGCCGGAACTTTCGCCTCCCTCGTGACGCCGGTGCGGGCGCTTTACGAGGGCGTACCCGTGGGCGGGACAGAGCTCGGAGGACGCTATTAAAGGCCGGACGCTTCCGGTTGTGGGGAGCTGTGGTGGGGCTTGGTGGGAGTCATGGCGGAGAATCACTGCGAGCTGTTGCAGCCGGCCCCAAGCGGCCACGGGGTGGGGTTGGGGGTTGGCTTGTGCCGCCGCTGCAGCGCAGGACTCGGCGCTCTAGTCCAGCGCCCCGGCAGCGTGTCCAAGTGGGTTCGGCTCAACGTCGGCGGCACCTACTTCCTCACTACCCGGCAGACGCTGTGCCGGGACCCGAAATCTTTCCTGTACCGTTTGTGCCAGGCCGACCCCGACCTGGACTCGGACAAGGTGAGGTCCGCGCGGGCCGGCCAGCCGGGTCCGGGCCGACCTGGCCCGCGCTGAGAAGACACGCCCCGGGCTCTCAGCCCTATGTTCCCCTCGTCACTAGCTCGACCCGAGCCTCCATCTCCCTGTCTGGGGCTCGGGAGAGACAATGGCGCCCTAGCGCCCACCACCCTTGAGGATCCCAGCTACTCCACTTCGGAGCGTGTTTTTCTCGCTCTCACTGCTCTTCCGCGGAGGAGGTTTCCCACAACCCGGACTTTGCTCTGGATCTACTTTCTTTTTCTCCCTAGATCCTTTTGCCGGTGGTGTGTGAACACCTTTTTTTCTCCGTCCCAGTGTACTAACTGGCTCTGGAATCGGAGAACTCTTGCGTTCTTTTCACCTTTTCACATTCCAGAGGTTTGACTTAAGGGTGACGCGGAGGGGGGTGGTGTGTGTGTGTGTGGGGGGGGTGACACAGTGGCCTGCCTTTCCCAGTGACTTGCATTTAGAGAGTTGGCGCTCCATCGTTTTCGGCTACAACACGCACCCCATTCAGCATACTAAGAAGGCGCTGTCCATAGAGTGATATTTTAAAGAGAATGTTGCTCATATTAAGGGATGTCTTAGGAGTGTCAAGGAAGGGCCAAGTAGGAAATCATTTTATCTGCTTTCTAATTATACTAGTTTTCCTACTGCCCTCGCAAAAGAATAGGAATTTCTAGGTTGGTTTGCCGCTTGTCTTTTATCAAATTTAATGCTCATACTGTTGTCCAGATGTTCATAGAAATTATTTTGTTGATTATCTTTACTTTGAAAGACTTCTGTGGCAGAGGAAGGGTGTCCTGGAAGCTGTACAAACTGTACAGTACTGAAACTCATGAAAGGCTGTTAAAAAAGTAGTTTTTACCTATATTTATCCTAGGGCGTTCACAAGCTTTATTCTTACTTTCCTGAATCTTTCTGTTGGGCCTGCATAATTACACTTGGCTTTGTGTCTTGCCCATCATTTGGCAAAGATAAGGCTTCCCAGAAAGATTCGGATAGTTAAAGTTCGAGAAGCCTGACAGAGACCATCCTCAGAGTGGCATGACCTTATGACCAGAAAATGAGAACTCTTGGTTACCACAAAACCACCCATCATGGATAGAAATCAGAGTTTGAGATGCTAGCCCTCTGGTCCTCTCCTTCCCCACCCCACACCCTCAGCTATTTTCATTGCTTATTTGACAACTCTCTAAGAGAATTGGTCTCCCAGAAAATGACAGTCATCTCCAGGATAGAAATAGGCTTTTGTTAGCTGTGATTTTCTTTTTATAGCATGGGTGTATGTTTTACTGTTTTGTTTTTCTTTTTAAACAGTGGGTCTTAGTGGTCATTCACTAGCATTTCTACTCAGGCTGTTCTTGTTTTGTATATTGAGTCAGATTTTAAATTGCTCATGTCCATTGGGTTGTTTTGAGGCAATGGCTGTCTATTCAGGCCTGAAATAGTTGATTCAAGGACAACTGACTATAGCTTGCACAGTTAAGTAAATTCATCCCTTTATTTTACTGTTTTGAGACTACTTAAAAAATTATGCTTTACTGTAATAGGAGCCCTTTGGGGGAGGGTACTGTATTAGATTTATCTATGTTGTCATTGCTTTTTTATTTCATCTTCCACTTAACTATATTTGTTTTCCAAAATGTAAAACTGAAATTTAGAACAAGAAGATAATGCTGCAGATAGTTTCTGTCCCAAAAAAGAATTGATAGTAAATAGAGTTTTAGTCACAGATAATGTGAATTTGCCAGAAAGAGTAATGCTAATTCATATTAGTCATAGTAGTAGAGTGTTTTACTTCAAATGAGAAAATGTATAAGACACTTGGTGTCCTCAGTTTTTTCCTCCCTTGGTTCTGATGAAAGAATGTCCCAGAGATTCATTCTTAGATAATTAAACCCTGAGTGAGGAGGAATCTCAGGGCGGGGTGGGGGCAGTGATTGGAGGAGTGGGACACTAGTAATTACACGATGAAAGAAACAGGATGTTGATTGACACTAAAAAATCTCAAGCCCTGACCTCCTAGTTAAGATTAATGAAAGCATACTTGGCAGATAATCGTAGGGCTGAACATAAGCAATGGCCTAGTGGAAGATTTCCTGCTGGGCATTTACTAGTGTTTATTGAGCACCTGGGCTTGCAGAGGCAGCAGCACTAGGGCAGAGGGTTAGGTGGAGAGATTTAAGGAGGAGGAGTTCGAAGAAACAAAAGACCTGGAGCCTCTCAGGAACCTGATGGGTTTGCAGTTCACTGGGAGAGTGCCTGTGGTCTCTTGCTGATAAATGCAGACTGTCTGGTGGGGAGTTCAGTCTCTGAAGCCATGTGGGAGCAGTGCTTTTTAAGATGTGGACAGACAGGTTCTTAGGGAAGCTGGGGAACTGGGCTACGACTGGTCCTTCCCCCTAAGTCTTCACATTCCCTGTGTCAGGACTGAGCCTGGGACCCACTGCTCACCGAGCCCCAAGCCCTCAAACCCTGACCTTTTTGTCTCAAGTTCTGACTCTAGGCCCATTGCTGCCATGACGTTCTCTTTATACAGTTCTCTTTATACAGCCCAAGTGTGAATTCTCATTTCCTCCCGGGGCTTCCTCCAGTGGGGCTGTGTCTGCATTATTCGTTTCAACTGTCCTGGGTTATTTTTCTCTTCTGCGTTCCCTTATGGACAGGTTAGATATAATACACCTTCTCAGAAGTGCTTTGTAAACACCTGAGGTGTGAATCATTTGGGTTGTGCCTCTTTGTATTCCATGGTGACTGGCCCATAAGCATTGCTGAACAGGTCAGACTTTGTTTAGAGCTGAATCCGTTGGAGATGCTTTAGGAGTTAAAGGGCAACGGGAAATACAACTGCTGGCGGTGGGACACCAGTCAGATGAAGTGGGGTTTCAGGGGGGTTTGGTCTCCAGCTGAGCCAGGCCTAGAGAAAACTCCTAGTTGTCCTCTGACAGGGCCATTGTCCTGGGTTCGGGGTTGCAGATTCTGTGGTGTCAGATAGGTCCTTGAGGGGCGGGACCATCAGTGTGCTTCTGATGACATGCCTCTTGCAGATCTTTACT